TACTGTGTGTGTGGGGAGAAATGGCTGGAAAACTATATTGATGACTTCACTCAAGATCAAGTGAACCAGTTGATGCAAACAGAAACTCACAGTTGCAGACCATTTCGGTTCGGAGATGGGAATTTTGTATATTCCACAAGAAATGTGAAATTACCAGCTAAAATAGGACTGACAAAATGCCTAATTGAAACAGAAGTGGTCAAGGTTGACATTCCACTCCTGCTGAGTAAAACGTCACTGAAGAAAGCAGGGACCACTTTGGACATGGAAAAGGACAGTGCAGTGATGTTCAAACAACCTATTCCTCTTGAATTTACTAGTTCTGGACATTACTGTGTCGATATCAGAGACAAAGACACTAAAAAAGATCAAACTGAAGAGGAAGTTCTAACAGTGACAGAAAATATGTCCCCAGATGAGAAGTCCTTCTGAAGCTCCATAAACAGTTTGGTCACGCGTCGGCAGACAGGCTACAGAGGCTCATTCACAGTTCAGGAAATAAGGACAGAATGTTTTACTAGTCTACAACAAATAGTATATGACTGTGAAATATGCCAAAAGTACAAGAGGACAAAGCCAAAGCCTGCTGTGGGGTTGCCCATGGCTTCAGAATATAATGAGACCTGGATCTACATGAGTTAGAACCAGGTGTATGGTATCTTCACATCATCGACCACTTTACACGTTTCAGTGCCGGAAACATTGTGAAAACAAAGAAGTCATCTGAAATTGTCAACTCCTTCATTCACACTTGGATAAATGTCCATGGTGCCCCCCAGAAGCTGTACAGTGATAATGGAGGGGAATTCAACAACCAAGAAATCAGAGACATGGCTGAAAACTTTAACATCGAGACCAGAACAACAGCTGGATACAGTCCCCGGAGCAACGGACTACTCGAGAGACATAACCAAACACTCACCGAGATCATCCTGAAGGTCAAACGAGAAAATGGATGTGACTGGCACACTGCCCTTGACTGGGCCCTCATGGCTAAGAAGAGTATGTTGAATGTTCATGGCTACAGTCCATACCAATTAGTGTTTGGACAGAATCCTAACCTTCCTTCTGTATTAGTTGATAAATTGCCTGCTCTAGAAGGTACCACTGTGAGTGCTAAAGTGGAAGAACACATTTCTGCTTTACATGCTTCTAGGAAAGCATTTACAAGCATAACCAGAGTCTTCTGAGCGAATAAGAAGGGCACTACGTAGGCAGCTTAGGCCCACAGATGACATGTATGTGACAGGAGACAAGGTATATTACAAAAGAGCAGACTGTCCTGAATGGAAGGGACCAGGGGTAGTTATTGGTCAAGATGGAGCTGTTATATTTGTAAGACATGGGGGGACTCTTGTTAGAGTACATCAATCCAGGCTCTGTAAAACAAACACACAGGATCAGGAATCTCAAGATAAGCAAAATGAACAAGACAACAGCCAGGTACCAAGTGAAAAAGGCTGCTTGAACAATACAGCAGATAGTGAAGAAAACACTGGCAGCGAACAAGAAAACATCAGCGACAGGGAGGTTAATACAGGAGAAGTGGTTTATCCTAGAATGAGACTTGCCAGAAACAGATCACGATGTGTGTGGTAATCCTGTCTCTTCTGCTGGTGTAAAGTTAAAAACAGGACAGACTGTAACATTTATGAATCAGGACTGTGGTGGTCTACAGAGAGCCAAGGTTTAATGCAGAGCAGGCAAATCCTCTGGAAAATATAAAAACTGGTTCAATCTGCAACATATTGAAAATGATGGCAGTGATGGGCAAAAACAGTCAGTGGATATGTCATGTGTTGATAATCTTCACATATACAGGAGAAGTGGTTTATCCTAGAATGACACAACCAGAAACAGATCACGATGTGTGTGGTAATCCTGTCTGTTCTGCTGGTGTAAAGTTAAAAACAGGACAGACTGTAACATTTATGAAACAGGACTGTGGTGGTCTACAGAGAGCCAAGGTTTAATGCAGAGCAGGCAAATCCTCTGGAAAATATAAAAACTGGTTCAATCTGCAACATATTGAAAATGATGGCAGTGATGGGCAAAAGGAGTCAGTGGATATGTCATGTGTTGATAATCTTCACATTGAATCAACTGATATAGAGACTAATGTACTCATAACAAAATATATTTCATTTGATGCAGCTAAACGGGATGAAATGGTGAATTGGTACAAAAACAATGTTTTTGAGGAAGTTGATGATGCAGGTCAAAAGTGTGTCTCTACCAGATGGGTCTGTAGTCTCAAAGAAATAGAGACTGATGTACTCATAACAAAATATATTTCATTTGATGCAGCTAAACGGGATGAAATGGTGAATTGGTACAAAAACAATGTTTTTGAGGAAGTTGATGATGCAGGTCAAAAGTGTGTCTCTACCAGATGGGTCTGTATTCTCAAAGAAACTCAGAGATGGTATTGTGCCCAAAGCGCGACTCGTAGCCAGAGGTTTTGAAGAGCTTAATATTCACGAGCTGTAGAAAGATTCTCCAACCTGTGCTTTTGACTCTCTTAGGCTGTTATTAGCTGTAAATCTGTCTAAATAAGTGGCAAGTCCATTCTATGGACATCAAATCTGCTTTCTTGCAAGGCATGCAGTTCTCCAGAGAAATCTATGTCCGGCCCCCTCCTGAAGCAGGAAAAGAAAATGTTCTATGGAAACTAAACAAGTGTGTTTACGGCCTTGCAGATGCATCATTGTATTGGTACAACTTAGTGAAAGAAATCATGCGGAGTACAGGTGGAAAAATGTCTAAAGTAGATCCAGCAGTATTCTATTGGTTGGATGAACAGTGTAAGGTTACTGGAGTACTCGCATGTCATGTTGATGATTTTCTTTGGGCAGGCTCACAAAACTTCTCAACAGATGTGATACCTACACTAAAGTCTGCATTACATGTTGGACGTGAGGAACATGAACATTTCTGCTATGTGGGAATAGACTTTGTTATTATTAATGGTGTAGTTCATGTACATCAGCATAGTTACATTGAAAACCTACAGCCTATTCGACTGCAAGTAGCATGTGCAGTGCAGAGGGATACCTCTCTTAATGAGACTGAAAAAGAGCAGATTAGGTCAAAAATGGGACAAATACTGTGGGTTGCAAAACAAACCAGACCAGACATTGTTTAATGTATGCAGTTTAGGATCAAATATAAAGTATGCTACAGTCCAGTCTATTCACGAGACAAATAAGGTCAATAGAAAGCTTAAATCTGAAAAGGTGACTCAGGTTTCAACATTTGGGAAACCGTGATGCTCTAAACTGTTGTTTTCAGTGATGCTTCCCTTGAAAATCTCCCTGATGGGGGCACACAGGGGGGGACATTGATTGGTCTCATGGGAGAAGGAGGGAAGTTTTCTCCTCTCTGTTGGCAATCTAAGAAAATTAGACGTGTGGTGAGGAGTACTCTGGCAGGGGAAACTCTGGCCCTGTCAGATGGAATAGATAATGCCATTTTTCTGACTACTCTCTTTTCTGAACTTACTACTGGAAATGCTGAGCTGCATACTCCGCCGTTGATCTGTGTGACAGACAACCACTCTCTTTTTGATATCCTTAAGTCAGCAAAACAGGTCTCTGAGAAACGTCTTTGACTGGAAATAAGCAGCATAAAGGAGCTCATACAGCGTAAAAGAATCAAGAAGTTACTCTAGTTGGACACAAAAACTCAACTCGCTGATTGTCTTACAAAAAAAGGAGCGTCGGCCCTGATGTTATTGAAAGTACTCGGTGAAGGACTATGGTGCTATTGAAAGCACTTAGTTAAGGACTGGGGACATTTGTTAAAGGGGTCATATGATACTTTTTTTAAAGATCATTATTTGGTGTAACAGAATATGTTGACATGCTTTAATGTTCAAAAAACACATTATTTTTCAAATTCTGTACATTATTGTAGGTCCTCTATGCCCTGCCTCTCTCAAACGCTTTGTTTTCTACAAAGAACCTCCTTCCGACAAGCGCAGTCTGCTCTGATTGGCCAGCTGACCCAGTGCATTGTGATTGGCCGAACACCGCAAGCACTCGTCGGAAACGTAACGCCCCTTACCAGAATCGCGAGCTTCATCTTTCAAAATAAATGTAAAGACCGAGCCTGAAAGGGGAACAGAGTCGCGTGACAGACACAGTGATGAATGTGTTTGCAGTACACAAGCCACGGTTAAGACAGCTGACTCCACTGTGATCTCTCTCTCGTTTGGCCGACACACACACACGATGCGCAAAACTCCGCATTTGAACAGTCAATAGCAAATACTTAAACTAATAACAAAACCGTAGCTGATTCAGAAGTGCCAGATTGTCATAGCAAAGTCAGAATTACTTCCTCTCCTAGGTTCACGAAACGGTCGTCCATAAAATGCATTGCTGTTCTGTTACAAGTAATCTTAAAGATTCCTAAATGCATCTACTTTTGGATGGCCAAATAAAGTGCTTTTGCTTTCGCACTGAAACACACCGCTATGATGGTTCATTTGAAAAGACTCTATACTTTCAATCGGATATACAACTATTTTTTTTGGTAACTGTAATCTTTGTTTTGTATGTTTTTTTTGTTTTGTTTAAAGTATAGGGAGATTGTTAACATGTTATTTCCTCCCTACTCTGTTCACATGAAAGAAGGTTGTGCCGGGTTAAAAATGAAGTTAGCGCATGCGCTGGTTCAAAGGTGAGCCCACTGGTAAAAAGGTTTTCAAATAACTGGGAGAACATCGATTAGCCTTTTCTATAACACTTTATGCTCTATGAATGGCACTGACTCACAGAATATTAGGAAGTGGGAAAAGGAACTATCAATTCCGATTGATGAGGATGTTTGGGAGGTAGTCTGGGAGGGTGCTAAAAAAATATCAGTCTGTAACCGTGCAAGCGCAATTCAGCTGAAGATACTGCACAGGCTACATATATCTCCTAATCACCGACATACTTTTAACAGTTCCTTTTCCCCATTTTGTCTTAAATGTAAGACTGAAGTTGGTACTCTGACTCGCTGTTTATGGTCATGCCGTTTGATACAGGGTTACTGGTGTAAAATACTTCGAGAAATGCAAAAGATTTTGAGTTTGGATCTAGATTTAAAGATTCACGGACGAGAATCCATAAAACACATTATTACACGTTTTGATGTCCACATATTCTTTTAATTACAGCGGCTATAGCATTTCTGTCCTAAAGAAATGGCCAAATATTAAAGATTAAGTGGACATTTGAATTAAATGATGCTTGGTCAATATTAAACTAGTATTAGATCGCGCAGTAGTGTGTAAAAACAATCATCAGGCCGTTGGCGCCCTCTGCAGGCCTTTGTTGTAATGTGTAATGTACATTAGCTCTATTGTTTATAAAACTATGTATTTTAACAGTTTTGTTCAATAAAACCATATGATTTCTTGCTTTTGATACTTGAACTAATTATTATTGCCTCATTGCTATTATATATGTATTTTAAGTAATTTTAAAGGCTATTGTTCACTTACATCTATTTTTATTACCTCAAAAAAATATATTGTAATTATAGGGCCCTATGAAATCAGTTTTATTTCCAAATTCAGTTTTTTTTCCATTTTCATTTTTCTATATTCTGTTTTAATGGTTAAATTAAAATGTATTAATCGAAAAACCTGTCTAATTAATTGAGATTTACAGTTTTATCTTTACCAAATTCTGTTTTCCATTATTTTCTGGATTCCATTTTAATGGTTCCATAAAATTTAAAAAATCAAAAGTATCTCCAATTAATTGATTTTATTTAAAAAAAATAAAAAAAATTTCAGAAATACTGCACATTTACATTTTTCTCCTAAATGAATTCTGGTAAATAACATTTCTGGTAAATACTCCTTTAAGAAGCGTTTTTTTATTATAATTTTATTAGTAGACTAGAACACATGGATATGTTGCCATTCTTACACTATAATACTGAACTTTGATTTAAGTGATTTGGACTATGAGATGGACACTTGCTGCTTGCACTCTGTTGCACTTTTGCTTTCAAAAAAGGATTTCATAGAAATTTGG